GCTAATGTAGTGGAACGACTAAAGGTATAAACTTCCATAAGCAACCAATGCTCATAGAGTAGTCAACAATAACCCAAGGCTAAGACGGGCTGAGCTTCCCAAGGTCACACCTGGTTAATCGTTCCAGAGTACTCCTGTAACTTCGACACCCAGGGGTCGAGAGCTAACAGGTGAAACGCAGTAATGCCAATAACGGTGTGGCATTTGCAACAATGCCAATTTGCTCTTTTAGAATCTCTTTTAATATCGCCGGATGGCGGCAGGGGAAACGGACCAGAACTGCTGTGTCACTGGAGCGGCAGAGAAGCAGACATAGAGTCGTCGCTGAAGGAGAAGAAATCTGAGAATCCTGTGGCGAACGCCCGCTTATATAGCCAGATGCCCCGCCCATTCTGGCGGGCTTTGGCTGGCTTTGTCAAACCAATGGTCGTGCAGTTTCACTGCGTGAATGAAAAGGCTTCAGTTCAGGAGAAAAAAGGCTTTTTCCCATATGCGCCTAGCAAGACGCAGTACGAGTGTAGTATCGAAAGGGAACTAGACTAGTCAGACTAAAAAAAAACTTCCTTTTTAGACACGTTTTGAAAAATGTCTTTATCCGTAAAAAAAAAACAAACAAAAAAACACACATATATATATAATAGGATTACGGAATCAAGACATTGCTGTGTAAATTATAAATCTGTATATTTTACAAGTTTATATTTTCATCTTTTATATTCGTTTGATTCATATAAATTCATATGATTTCATATGATTTTCAAACTATTTCTAATTTAGAACATATTAGGGAAAATAAATACAAATTTCATTGCTGCATGAGTTATTTACAATCTTTCAAATTAAATCGTGTGATATCACCACACATATTGGCTTTACAATGACCATTGGTCACCCTGTTCTAAGATGCTGGCATTGGTCATTATTTCCACTTAATTTAATTCCATCAATTTAATTCCATCAATTAAATTCAATTAAAATTCCAATTCATTAATTGAAAGGGAGCCAATTTTTTGATTCAGAATATTGCTAATGTACGGATTTTTGTAAATTTATGTAATAATTTCACATAAATTAATTAATTAATACAAAATCACCACAAAATCACAAACAATATGTTCAAATTATTTCATTCCCACCTCATTTTGCATGGCTTGCTTCATGATCTCGTCAAAGGTAACGAACGTGTCGTTTCCTCTAATGGCATCCTTCTCTAGATAACCAAGGTGAATGTCAGTAGCAATGAGGATCTTGAACGTGTCCTCGTCGTCACTATAAAAATAAAAATGTTGGCAGAAAACAATTAAGAGTCTTGTAAACGAATGGTAGAGTCGCTGTAAGTGACAGCTACAACTGTAACTTAACTTTAGGGGGGGGGGAAATAATAATCTGCTATCATCAAACCTTACATTTCAGACTGTAGTTTTGAGGAGCTGTCATGTGAACAAAGTCAGCTGAATATAAGTGTTACAATCACTTTCCGATCAACCACTAAATCCATGGTATTTTGCTCGTTAAACTAGCAAAAGTTCAATTATACTCACATGGTGTTTCCAGCTGATGTCATACTGTAGATACTGAAAATGTCGATGACGCTGATCAGAAAAAGATCCAAATCTGTTGATCTTGATCTAAAGTTATTATACTTTAACGCAGAGAAAGCTGCAGACTAGATACATGTTGTACATGCCATCATTTCCTCATAAACATGCGTGGAGTAGATTTAATTCTAAAACTGTACTAAATAAAGCTGCTGCAAAGTGTTTCAGACAGGACTTGAAATATTGTGCCTGCTCAGATTGTTCATTCAAAGCAAAATAAATAACATTTTACCTATAAAACGAATTAAAGCGCTCATTAAATCACGTTCACATGGAAGCAATTTTGTCCCTCCTACTTCTTCTTCTTGTTTTATGGCGAATAACTCCTTAGGCGCATTATCGCCACCTACTGTACTGGATGTCAAGTAAACTTTGATAGGTGATGAGTCTGAAATTTGAGTAAAAAAAAAAAAA